CTGCCAGTCCCGACTGGTGGCTGGGTGAGCGGGGGACGCTGGCCGGGCCACCTTCTCCCCTGAGCGGGGCAGGCTTTGCGGCCCCAGCCTTCCTGACGCAGGACGGTGGGGAGATGTGATCAGGCCGGGCTCGCTGCCTGACACCAAGGTCCCCGTGCCTGTCTCTGAGCTGGAGTTGTCACTGGTGAGAGTGACGAAAGGTGGTGTGAGTGTGAGTACAAGAGTGGGCGTGAGTGTGAGTGTGTAGGAGTGTGTGAGCATGAGTGTGTGTGAGTGTATGAATGAATGAGAGTGTGAATGAGTGAGCATGAGTGCGTATGTGAGCGTGAGTGAGTGTATGTGTGATGAGTGTGAGCATGAATGTGAGTATATGAGTGTGTGAGCATGTGTGAGTGAGTGTGATCAGTGTGAGCATGAGTGTGTATGTGTGAATATGAGTGAGTATATGAGAATGAGCATGAGTGTGTAAGTGAGTGTGAGCATGAGTGTGTGAGTGAGAGCATGAGTGTGTGAGTATATGAGCGTGTGAGCATGGGTGTGTGAGTGAGTGAGGGGAAGTTTGTGAGTGCGTATGAGTGTGAGTATATGAGCGTATGAGTGAGTATATGAGCGTGTGAGTGAGTGTGAGCATGAGTGTGAGTGAGAGCATGAGTGTGTGAGTATATGAGCGTGTGAGCATGGGTGTGTGAGTGTATGAAGTGTGAGTGCGTATGAGTGAGTATATGAGCGTGTGAGTGTGAGCATGGGTGTGTGTGAGTGTATGAAGTGTGTGAGTGCGTATGAGTGAGTATATGAGCGTGTGAGTGTGAGTGTGAGTGTGAGCATGAGTGTGTGAGTATATGAGCGTGTGAGCATGGGTGTGTGTGTGTATGAAGTGTGAGTGTGCATGAGTGAGTATATGAGCGTGTGAGTGAGTGGGAGCATGGGGGTGTGAGTGTGAGCATGAGTGTGTGAGTATATGAGCGTGTGAGCATGGGTGTGTGTGAGTGTATGTAAGTGTGTGAGCGTGGATGAGTGTGAATGCTGCCCCGGGGCCCTGCCTGCCCCCCTGATGTGTCTCATCTGCTTCCAGGGTCCCTGGAGGGCAGAGGTGGCAGTGCCCCTTCTCGAGCCCCGGCCAGAAGCAGCCCACTGGCCAGGGCGGAGCCGGGCTTCCTGGCGGACCCTGAGCCCGGCTCCCAGGGGCTCCCAGGTGGCCCGTTGGAGCCGTGGGGCGCGGACGTGGGCTGCCCCAGCCCGGCCCTTCGGGAAGATGTGGACAGCATCTTCCCCGACTTCTTTGCGTGCTAGGAGGCTGGGCTCCGGCCAGGCACAGAGCGGGGCGCTGGCGTGGGTCTTGGGGTGGCATGTGCACGCTTCCTCAGGCATTTTATTTTGGGGTGCAGGTTGCACCTGCACCCTGATTTCAGCAATGCCGCCTGGGCCGTGAAGCACGGAGCCTGAGTTTTAAAGAGCAGCCAGTTCCGGCAGGAAGCGAGTTTCTGTGTGTGATCAATGCGACGGCTGGGCAGAGGGCGTCACTTCTGTCACTGCAGGCACCTGCCGGGGGTGGGGGTCCCGTGATGCCTGGGCCTTGCGGAACCCGGAGAGACCCAGCCCTGGAGTCTGGGCAGGGGCTCTGAGCCGGTGGGAGGTAGGCAAGTGCACAGCTGGGGGATGATCCCCACCTGTTGGCGCCGCATCGGGCTGAGGCCAGCACTGGCCCCTGGGCGGCGAGTTTGTGTCCCGTGAGCCATTTGGTGGGTTTGGGCACAGGCCTCCGCCAAAGCCCCTGGCGTCTGACCAAGCTGGCCTGGAGGAGCCAGCTCTGAGATTGAGGGTCCGCCTGTGCCCCTGCATGCCGACCTCACCCCAGGACCCTGTGAGGGAGGTTGGGTAGCTGGGGCTCCAGCTTGCTCAGAGCCCGGACTGGGGCTCCTGCTGCATCCCCCAGGCTCTGGTGGAAGGTAGTGGGCAAGACCCCACTCAGGTGGCAGGTGCGGCTCACCTGTGCCGCCTGGAGCCCGTGTGCGGTGATGCTGAGGCCCAGCTGGACGTGTGGGGAGACCCGCCTCCCCGGCCTGGGACCATAGCATCCCGTCACTGCAGGCCCCGCACCCTGCCCTCGGCCGGCTGCAGGGGCGGGCCCCCCTCCTTGACCGTGACAGCTGGCGGGGGTTGTGATGGTGCCTTTTCTGAAGCCAAAGCCCCCAGGCGAGCGGAGGAGAAAGGGCTGTGGGCTGGGCCTGGCGGGGGGCTCGTCTGTGCCGCTGCTGGAGCTGAAGGGAGCTGTGGGGGTTCAGAGGGCAGCTTGCTCCCCCTCCTCCTCGGGCCTCGGAGCCAAATTACAGCTCTTGTTGCTGTAATTGCCTGTTCCGGGCGCGTGCAGAAGCTGTCACCGGTGATTGCCGGCTTATTTCTGGGAGTCTGGTTGGGATGCAGGCTGCAGCAAGCCCCTCCCCAGCTTCAAGGTGACTGTCTCCTTCCCCTGTTTGCCTGGAGGTAGGACGCAGAGAGGACATGGCCTGGCAGGACCCCAGCCACTACCAGGCCACACCCTCTCCAGGTCCAGCTACCCCTCAGCTGGGACATTCTGGTGGGACGGTGTGTTTGGCTGGGCCGTGGTGACAGCCTTCTGAGCTGGGAGCTGACCAGCTGCCGGGTCTGCCACCCTCAGCTGACCCCCCAAGCCTTGTCCCCTTTCATCTGGCCACCACTCTGCTCACCTCTATGTCCACCCTCCTCCCGCCCGCCCCACTGCCACCTACTCCTTGGACCTCGTGGCCACCGTGAGTCACCACGTGCTGGTGTTTTGGTGGTGGCCCTCAGTGCTGCTCAGCACCCTTGTCCAGCCCGGGGATCACGTAGGCCCCACCCTGGAGCTCCCCACAGCCTCCCGCCCACGTGGGCGGGGCCGGAGCGCTGCATGGGAGGCGGAGCCGTCTTGGCCCCGGCCCCCCGCGCCCCCACTCTCAGGGCCACCGTCATTTCCGGGAGACTCAAGTGGCCTTCAGAAAAGGTCCCCTAAACTTGGCTCAGCCTGGAACAAAGAGACAAAGCTTAGAGACTCAGCTGGTACCAGGCGCAGAGAATTCACCGTCCTCACCACCGTGTGGCGCTCCTGGGGCCCCGCCCACAGCCCCAAGATGGCACCAGGGCGGCCACGGGGTGGCCCCACCCCCTCCCTGCACTGTGTCCCACCTTTACGCCCTGAACGTGCCCCAGTGAACCCCGAGGAGCTTTCCCAGGCCATGTGGCTCAGTCTCGGCAGGAGGCCCCCCCATCCCCCCAAACCCCCCAAGTGGCCCTGGCCCCGGGCTCAGTGTCAGCAGGCAGCTCCCACCGCCAGCCTTGAGATCGGGGTGAAGCCCACACCCCACAGAGAACACGCTGCGGGGCAGCCATTCATCAGACACCAGGAAAGGCCTGGGGCGCCGCTCCCCGGGGGTCGGCTGAAGGGCCCCTTGGGTCCGCCATGATTTCCGGGCCCTTTGGCGAGGGTGGCGGAGACCCCGGGAGACGTAAGCGGGAGGCAGCACAGCGGTGGGCTCCGGGCTGGAGGGGCGGATCTGCGGGAGGGGCGGGGCCTCCTGGGGCCAGGGGCTGGGGGCGCCTGTCACGCCCACATCCCTCCTCCTGCAGACCCGCTGCCTCGCCTCCCCCGCCACCCCAAGCTGCCCCATCCACTGGTCCCGTCCTGGGGGACTGGATGGGCACCCCCAACTTCGGTTCTTCTCACACACCGGCGTTTTGGACGTCTCCCGGCCGTCAGTTCCCACCGCCTGGCTGTGCCCGCGGCTGGCACGGTGGGTGCTCCGTGCGTGCGTGCGTGGAGCTGCACCTGCTGCTCGCCCCGCGGGGGTCCCCTGTCTGCCCTTGGGACCCACCTGGCTCTGGTCCCCCAGGGTCCGAGCCCCGTGCCTGGGCCCGGAGCCGTCTGTGTGGGGAGCAGCAGCCGCACTGAGCAGTCCCAGCGAGACCCCGCGGCTGGGGGAGGGGCTGGCAGTTACCCCGGGCCAGGTCCACGGTGTTGTCCCGGCCAATCCCGTGGTGTCCTCAGTAGTCTTGACCATCAGCAGGCCCTCCCGGCCCGCGGCGGAGGACCAGCCAGTGGACAGAGCGGTGGGCGCTGTCCCTCTCGCTGGTCACCAGGGACAATGGGCGGTGGGTTTCCAGGGGCTTGGAGATTGGCTCAGGTTTTCGGGATGCAGATACCGTCGTGGGGACAGCAGAGGCTGTGACCTGGTGGGAGGCGTGTGCCCGGATGTCCCCACGGGAGTCAGAGAGGAGGTGAGGGCCCCTCCCCTCCTGCCCAAGTTGGGGCGGGGCCAGCCTGTCCTCTGGGTCCCAGTCGCGCTGTCCCAGGCTTCTGTGCATTCGTCTCCCCCACTTTGGGATAAAGGGCTGGGGCCCAAGGAACGTGTGTGGTGTCTGGGTCTTTGTTTGAAGACAAGACAATGGACTCAGCCGTTTGGGGGAGCACTGTGGTAGGGGTGGACCACCCGGGAAGCTGCACCAGAGGCGTGTCCTGTGACTGCGGCCCTGAGCGCTGACCCCGGGAAGCAGAAGCGAAGAGCTCAGGGCCCAGGGCCGGGGGCGGCTGTGTGCAGAGCTGTGCCCTGGGAATGCTTCGCCTCCACGGCTGCACCACGGGGACCACGGGGACATGAGGGGTCGTCCCCACTGAGCCAGAACTGCACAGGGACGGCAGTTCCCTAAGTCTAATGACAGTGTCCTTCTAGGACAAGGTGGGAGGGGTTTGAGACACAGAGGAGACAGGCAGAGTGCGCAGGAGTTGGCCACAGCCGGGCGTCTGGGGCAGGAGCAGCTGGAACAGGCAGGAAGGACCCTGCCCCGGAGCCTCCCACCCTGCCGGCGACCCCTTCTGACTCAGCGAAGTGCAGCCCACACCCTGTAAGCTTTGTGGGCCCAGGGCGAGGCCACCGGCCCTTGCCGTTCTCGAGTACGAACGTCCTGAAAGCCACCTGTCCTGACCCTGCCACTTCCCAGAGGACGGGCGCTTCGCCCTCCAAACCCAGGACCCCGGAATCTGATGCAGAAAAGCAGGCATCACATGTGACACACACAGGTCCGCACTTGCTGGGTGACCTCGTGGTGGGCGGGCAGCAGCCCGGGTGGGCCTGGGGTAGTTGTTGGAGTTGCGAGGCTCCCTCCAAATCCTCAGTGTGATGCTTTTTGACGAAAAGGGAAGGGCCCTGTCTGCGCTGCTGGCCGACGATGCCAGTCGGCCTCTGTCTAATGTTTATACCTCTCCTCCAGGCGGCTGAGGTCCTCTGTCTGCTGCGGCCCAGGTCCGCCCTGGGGACCGGCGGGGGGCTGGGGCGATTGCCATCGGTGTGTGAGTGCAGGTGGGGGTCTCTGGGAGGGGCCCTTTTCCTGAGGAGGTATGCCACCACCGTGTCCCTCCCGCGTCTCCGGAGTGCAAGCAGAATATGACGGACACCTGTGCCCCTCTCTCTCAAGGAAGATCGTGTGACCGGGGGTGGGGGTGGGGCAGCGTGCATGACCAGGCCACACGCGGCTTGACTGCTGGCTCCTAACGGCCAGCCAGACCCCGGGCGGGGGCAGGACCAGCTGCCCTTTCCAGACGCCTCCTCCAGCTCATCCCAGCCATCCGCCCACCGCAGAGTGCCCACGGGTGCGGGCCGGCCGGGGACCCTCGTGTGAGACAGGTGTCCGGCAGCTAAGGGCCTGGCCCTACTCCACCCCGAAGTCCCTGGGGGCCCCTCCCGGGCTGGATGACGCTGACTCTATACTCATCTCGGCTTGTAGTGAAACCTGCTTCTGGTTTTATCCGCCGTCAGCTCACATGGGACACGCTGACCCTGTGCTGGAGGGAGCAAGGTCCTCTAGAACCGGTGTCCAGCGGCGCGCCTCAGTGGGACTGGGCGGGACTCGGCCGCACTGGACCTCGGACACTTGTGCCTCAGCTCAGGGCAGCGGCCCCAGCCCAGCCCGCATCCCCTTTGGCCTCGGCGTCCCCCTCACCCTCCAACTCCTAGGAAGGAGGCTGCGAGGCGGGCAGGGGATGGGCCCAGGGCTGGAGGGGCCTCCCCCAGAGGAGGAGATGATTCTCCAGGGGACGCGCCTCCCTCTCGTGGGGCCTCGGATGACCAGCGGTGAGCCCGGTCCCCTTCCGAGAGGGCAGAGCCACTTTGGTGTCACTGGACAGTGCTGGCAGGTGGAGTGCACAGTCCCTCGTCCACCCCACAGTGGGCGGGTGGGAGGGGCGGCCAGATGCTGAGCAGCTGGAGAAGGGTCGGGAGGAGAGGAGTGTGGGCTGCAAACCC